GAATCTGGGCAGTGGCGGCCAGCTCTTTGCAGTGTGACCCACATCATTCCCCGAAAGCACCCCCGCCAACCGAGCATGCCCCCGAGGGTGAGCTGGAGAGAGATCGCCGTAGATGTAGACACCTTTGGAGCCGAGGTGGTGGTCGCGAAGCTGAAGTCCTTTGGCATCGATAAGAGAAAGCGGGGCAAGGTGTCAGTTCTTTCTGATCTCGGACGTCTGCGGACGATAGGTGCGAGCTTCGAGTGATTCTGTGCGCACGGATCCCGAGTTGGCGCGGTTCCAGGTCGTAAACAGCTTCCTTTCCTTCTTCCTATGCATACGCACGTGAGCATATAAACGTCTTCACGCTCCTTCTCCTGGAAGACGTCACCTACAGCACTCACAAAGCACGATATATTTTCGCTCGGTGTTGCCAACTAGAGAACGCTAGATAGAGAGAATTGCATACGCTAGAGGAGATACGCCGATCTTTGACCTTACTCGCCGTCACTGCTTTCTTCAATTCCGCTCGGCTCCTTCGAGCAGCGATCGCAGTCGCACTTGAACCACCGCTCGCTGCCGTAGTGCACGGTGATCGGTGCGCCTGGCTGAACGCCCTTGATCATCTTCACGAACATCCGGACGCGAGAGCGCGTCTGCTGCTCCACAAAGGCAGCGTTCGGCTCGCAGGAGTGAGAGATCAAGCTCGTAATCGATCCACATCGCTGGGCGTCGACGTAGAGGTAGTTATTTTTGATGGACTTGGTGTTGTACAGCAGGGTGAACCCCGAGTTTGTCTTCACCGCCACAGGCGGTTACTCCTACACGGTACTCTCCCAGCACGTCTCCGACATCGAGAGCCGTGGTCGTGTACACGCCAAGGCCCACACGGCCCGTATCGAACAGCTTCAACGAGCTTAGTGTGCGAGGTGCGTTGCTGCAAAAGGCGCCCAGCTTGTATTATTTGGGTGTGCAGAAGGACGTCAAAGCTACATTAGTGCAGGCATCCCAAAAGCAGTCACCGAAGCACTTACACTGGTCGACGCTTCCAATATCTGGAAACTTAACGCCGTTGTGCTTGCACGTGGTGATCTTCTCGATCTCCGGTGGCCATGCTACAGTCCTGCACAATGTAAAATTGCTTATACGCAGGATCGGAATACGTAGACCTCTTGGCGCGCAGGATCGCCAACTGCAGCTTAACCTCAGGGCTGTTCTACAGTTCGTTAAACTTCACCGCCTTGACCGTCATCTCGTGGCATATCTTGGAGCCGCTCCTCGTCACCGCACATCTTGCCAGGTGTCTGCGTTTTCGAGATCTTGGAACTAGCCACTGTTCCCTCTTCTTCTTTGCTTGGTGGCGGATCTTGTCGCGGGCATGTCGGTTAGGTATCGCCTGGACGTAGTCAGCAGCGTCGGAATCGGACAGCATGCCGCTGCTCTCCCCGGTAGAGACTAGGTCAATTATCTCTCTCAGTCCAGATTCTCCCTCACTTGGAAAAGATGCATCCAACTCCGTAGACCCTCCAGCATGGACTGAATCCGTAGTAGTTACTCGCGGTGGGGTGCTGGGCGGTACCACGGGCTCTTGGTATGTGAGCGAGTTAGGAGAGCTGCTCGCACTGCTGTGTGGCGTTTTCGGCACAATCTCCTCCAGTACATGTTCACCTTCTTCACAAACGGCCTCGTATGCCGCTACGACTGCTGCTTGCAGGGAACTATTCAGCGCGCTGGCCCTTGTCGGAGCCAAAAAATAGTTCCTGCAACCAACTCAACCGTCCGGAGCTTACGCCACTTGGTCTCCCCGGGTGGGGGTGCCGAAACAGTCTGCCATTCTCTTGAGCATCATGCCCCTCGGGATCGGCTCCCCCGTGTTTACCGCCACGGGGAAGTCAACGTCGGCACCGCCGTCAGCACGAGTGACGACGGCGCGGCGATACCCTCTGCGGTCGCCACAGACGTAGGCGCGGTAGAAATACTCGACCGTATCCCCAGCGTGGAGTGCCTCCGGCGGCAGCTCCAACGCGCTGAGGCCCGACATGGTCCTGGGATGAGTGCTGGACGCACGAGCAGCGCTTGGTCGGCGCCCCTGATATAGCAGCAAGAATGGAAGATTCTGGAGTGCGCAACCATCATGCCGCAGGA